CAAAAAAAAAAAAAAAAAAAAAATCGTGTGAAAAAAAGAGTACTTGGGCCCTGATTGGACTTTGATGAGGGTCTTAGGAACAGGAAGGATACAGAGAAACACTGGGGTAGGGCTGGCTGCTGCCCCCAGATTGGGGAGATAACTTCAGGGATGATTCTAAGCCATCAGCTGCTAGCTCCCTTTAGCTCCCTGTGCTGCTTTGCTTTCTAACACTATGTCAGAGGGCTCTAGGATGAGCTCCAGAGCTCATCCCCAGCTGAAAAGCTGACTCTTCCCTCCCCTGCTCCAGCATTTTTGTTAAGACTCAGGAAATAGTTGAAATTGGGTACAATTACTTTTCCCCCACCCCCACCCCAACCACCTCCCCCTTGCTGGGGCCAGCAAGAAGGTCATGGGCTCACAGTCAGGGAAGTGTTTAAGACACTTTCTGCCTTGCACCTGCCCAAAAGTACACCACTCCAGGGACCTCACACCTCAGACCCACTCAACTCTGCATCACAGCCAACTGTCCTGTTGGGAGGGCTGTCAGCACACTTGAAGCAGGTAGGGACCCAGAGAGGCTACAGTGGACTTGGCCTTCTGGAGGTGGTAGGTGGGGAGGAGCCAGGGCTCCATGGCAGGTGATACCATCTTATTTGGGTATATCCTGCAGCCCTTGGTTCTGATATGTGGGCCTCCTCTCTTGTATGATGTACCAGGGTGAGGAAAGCTGGGCTTTCCATCCCATGCCAGCCTTCTCAGGGACAGACTATGGGTGTTGGGAGCAGACCTGGTTCCAGCACTCAGGGAAGGCAGGATGTGGGAATAGGAGTGAGAATAAGCAGCATTCCACTTCCCTCCTCTGGGTGCCTCATGACCTCTCTTCTCTTTTTAGTCACCTCATTCTGCATTTTTCCAAATTGGACAGATGAACAACGTGGAGCTGGATGATGAGCTCCTGGATCCGGTGAGTGGTGGTGTGATGCTCCCTGCTTCCACTGAGCTGATCCTAGTAGAGGGAAGATGATGGGCCCTGGGCGTACTCTGCAGGGGTGGTCTGCATAGCATGGTCAACAGATAGCAGGACCCCTAGAGATGGCACACACAGTATGGATGTAGCCTCCGAGGCCAAGTAACTAGAAGCAGCCAATTATGAAGAGGTAAGCAGAGGCACTATTTGGAGGAGGGCCTAGATAGGAATAGGCTTAGTGTGAAGACACCCAAGTGGGCTGAAGGGTCTTGGGACAGGAAGAGGATTGAAGAGGGATTAGGAGTCCTCAAGTTTCAAGGACAGCTATGTCCTCTGACCCTTGGGGTGAATTCTGGCCTCCTAAAAACAACCTCTTCAGGCACTGGAGAGATGGCTTATCAGTTAAATGCATAATGCTCTTACAGAAGACCTGTGTTTGGTTCCCCTCACCCAAGTTTGGCAGCTCACAACTGCTGTACCTCCAGCCTTAGGGTGTCCAGTGCCCTCTTCTGGCCCCGGAGACACCTGTACTCACTTGCAGATACCCCCCCCCATACTTACACATAATTAAAAATAAACAACAATCTTAAAAAAAAAAAACATACACACACTTCTCTAGACTCTGTCCTTGGTAAACCCCTATCCAGGGGAGCCATGAGACTGTTTTCTGAGCCTCCATATTGGAATTCACTTGTCTTTGGTGATATCTGCTGTGGTTCTGTTTGGCCCCATGGGCTGTGATACTGAGCATCCTCACATGCTGTTAGTCATCTGTATCATCTTTGGAGAGATACCTGTTTTACATCCTGTGCCTTTTTTTGTTGTTGTTGTTGTTGTTTTTTTTTTTTTGGATTGGGTAGCCTTGAAATCACAGAGATCCACCTGCTTCTGCCTCCTGAGTGCTAGAATTAAAGACCATCATGCCTGGCAAAAATAAGGATAACTGAAGAGACATTTGCTGGTGAGACTCGAACCCATACCTTTTTGGTTGTGAGCCTGAGCCTTTAATGGCTCTCTAGCTCCTGAGCTCATTTTTTAAAATTGTGTTTTTAAAAATAGTGACTCGCTGGGTATGGTGGCGCAGGCCTTTAATCCCAGCGCCTGGGAGGCAGAGGCAGGCGGATCTCTGAGTTCAAGGCCAGCCTAGTCTACATAGTGAGTTCCAGGACAGCTGGGGCTACAGGGAGACCCTGTCTCAAAAAGACCAATAAATAAATAAATAAATAAAAATTGTGACTCAATAATTGAGTCACAGGGGTTCTTTACATATTCTATACTTACATTTTTTTTTATGTTTTTTTTTTTTTTGTACAAGTGTTTTGCTTGCCCATCTGTATGTATGTATATGTGTAGTGCTCTTAAAAACTGGAAGACGACAACAGAGCTGCAGTATGGGTGCTGGGAATTGAACTCCGGGTCCTCTGAAAGAACAGCAAATGCTCTTAACCCTTGAGCCACCACTCCAGCCCCCCTCCCCATTTTCCTATTTTCTTGA